TCTTTCCGATAAGAGAATTTTTACTTTTTTTTTAATAAATTATATATATAAATAAATATTATGTTTGAATATATAAGTTATATTTAAAATTTGTAGAAATAAATATTTTAGAAAATAGAAGTTGTATTATAAATTTATGATAAATAATTTATATTAAAGAAAAACATTATTCTTATTTATTGATAATTTATTTAAAATATTAATATTTAATTTAAAAATAGTTATGATAATTAAAGTCGATTTAGATAGAAAATTAAAATGAAATCTACAAACTCATTCATCAAAGAAAAGTCTTCCAAGAATATTTGTGCAAAATAACAGTTTGTATTTAATATATAGAAGTTGAATTATAAGTTAAATTTTTTATAATTAGGCTAAATTATATTTGACCTTTTATCTTTTTTGTTAAATTCATTTTGATCATTTATCTTTTAAAATGTTCATTATGATCCTTTATGTAACACCCCAAATTTTCTACTAATACAATGTTGATTATTATTTATTTTCATACATTTATTATAGTTAATTAAAAGGGTTTTTATAAAATATTGTAAAGGTTTTTAATAATTTAAATTATTTATGAAATTATGTTTCTTTAGGTTGGAACGGGCTGTTCCAAAAGTGGAACGGGCCGTTCTAAACAATGAAAATATACTGATTTTGAAGTGGTAGAACGGACCGTTCCAAAAGTGGAACGGGCCGTTCCAATGTAGTAAAAATACTCATTTTGATTTCTCCAGAACGGGCCGTTCCAGAGTAAGAAAAATGCCTAAAAAGTTAAGTTAGAAATGGGGCGTTCTCTTTATGGTCAATCTGTGTAAAAGTGAACTCCAGATCGGGCCGTTCTAATTTTAAAATGGACCGTTCTACTTTTTGGAAACGGGCCATTCCGATTTTAGAACGAGCCGTTCCAGTTGAAAATTTTGCGTATATTTGAAGGCTTCTGTTGAGATTTCCGTTGAAACACTTTTGTTAATATTTATAAATTCGTTTAATTCTATCAACGGTCTCAAACACGGCAAGTATACCGGCCGTTCAAGTAGTAAAAATATCGTATCCACGGGGATTAGAAGGTAATATAAGCATTTATTGACTATTCGTGACTAAAGAATAATTCCAATTTCATAGTTTGTGCAGTGAATGCAAAGTTGTGACTATTGGAATGAAAGCTGTAAATAAATATTGTTTTGTGAGTGGAAAAGGTAAGGAATGGTATTGTGGTATTGTGAGGTTGTGGGGGTCAGATTTCACCAAACGTAACACTAATGTATCCTTAATCTCTTGTTGAATTCATTGCTTAGTCAACCCATAAGTTTACTCAAACCTAATCCCTTAGAGAAAGAGCCTAGGTGCGGATATTGAATATCAATCCCTTGAGTACCCAATATCTACACCCGCATTACGGGCTAGGGTTTAAGACTACTAATGGGTCAAGCTCTATCCCTAGATACAATCACCACTAGGCATATGTTTCAGAACTAGTTTCAAAGGTTATTTTCCAATACCCATGGAACCTTAAATCATGCAAAGGGTGATCAATCCAAAGCAAGCATTAAGAATAGAAACAAACACAACAAAGAATAAAACAACATGTATATATATCATTAAAACCGTAAAGATTACAATAGAGTACGTTGGTTACATCTAACCCCACAAAATGGGTGAAACCACTCAACAAAGAGGGCAAATACAAAATAGAGATGGAAGAGGAAGTGAAGAACCGAAGGAAAGATCCGCACACGGACGATCCCAAGCCCTGGGAATCCCTTCCGCAGCTCCTGGAGGCGCCCAATGTGAGAATGGGGGTTTCTCCCCCGAAAATGGCTTCAAATACGAGCTTGGGGAGTCAGATTAGGGTTTCGCGCCCGGCGCATAAGTCTTCGCGCCCGGCGCGGGGCCTTCCAGATACTCTCTGCCTTAGGACAAGCCCGGCGCAATTCACATTACGCCCGGCGCAATGGCTCCCAGAGGTGAGATACTCTGTTTTGCTCGCCTGGCGCGGATCACCTTGCGCCCGGCGCAGAACCTCTTCTCTGCTCCTTAGCTTCTTAGATTTCCAATCCTAAGAGTCTTCAACTTTCCACTCTAGCTCAATACCTGCACAAAAAATGAGGTGTATTAAGGTATTGTTAGCTAAATTTGGGTTAGTTATATCTGCACACAAAATGAACCAAAAAGAGAACAATTACATTGCAATGGTTCAAAGGATGAGTGGAATTTGTTCAATAAGTCTCATCCAAAAAGAGGTAAAATTGAGACTTAACAGCTTCGAAACGGGCCGTTCCGAATTCAGTACCGGTCGTTCCAGGTGCGCCAGCATGCCTATAAATAGGGGCATAGGGGATGAAAAGTTTATAACTTAGTGAGAAGGTGAAAATCTTAGAGAGAGAGAGAAAGAGAGAGAGAGAGAGAGAGAGAGAGAGAAGAGAGAGAAGAGAAAGAAAGAGAGGGAAATAAAAGAGGGAATCCAGAGGAGGATGTTCTGCTCTAGTTCCAGCTCCTGCTTATCCAGGTAAGGGGGGAGTGAGAAACCTCGCTCGGGGGTGTGGGGATAATTGTTGGATAGTTTGATTGTCGGATTGGCCCCCAATCCCTTGCCTGTTGTTCTGTTTTATTTTCTGTTTGCTCTATTTTGTTCCTTGTTACTTTGTTCTTTGTCACTTTGTTCTTTGTTACTTTGTTCTTTGTTACTTTGTTCCTTGAAAGTAATAAAGGAATATGTAATTAATGGTAACAATAAATGAGTTTTAATATAAATAAGAATGCTTTCTGTAGATCTCTGTAAATTCATGTGCGGACCTTATGAGGAGTATTTATGACATGACCATGTGAATATGGACAAATGACATGAGACCTAAGAATGGACTTTTGAGACAAGTTGTGATTATGAGACTATGAAAAATGATGACATGATGTACTAAATGAAATTTTGTAATAAGTCAAATATTGAGTCAATGAAATAATGAATGTATGACATGCATCATATGCATATATTATTCCAGGTGTGCCGCTGAGGCCGCAAACCAGTGATGTAACATGCTAACGAGGTGTACCTTAGGGTCACCAGTGATGTAACTTGCTAACAAGGTGTACCTTAGGGTCACCAGTGATGTAATCAGGTGTACCTTAGGGTCACCAGTGATGTAACCAGGTGTGCCTTAGGGTCACCAGTGATGATGAATTGTGAAACTTCCTATGGCGCCACATGCATGCATTTATGAGTCGAGTCCATGACATCATTGCATGATAAATGAGTGTATATGTGATATTGATTATGTATGTGTATTATTTACGTGTGACTTATATTTGTTGTGTGTGTGCTATCTAACCTTTATTTCTACACCTAAAACTGAGTGAGATGTTTCTCACTCCCTTGTTGTTCTTGTATATGTTTAAATTATGTTGCAGGTGATCATGATGTTGGTGATGAGGCTTAAGGCTTCAGTTGGACATGCTCTGATAGGATGAGACATCGGGGCTTAGCTAGCTTAGTCTAATATGTTATTGTTTTAAAAGCTGTAATTTTCTCTTCTTTTGTAATTTTGAACGTTCTTGATAAAAGACTAAAATGTACATCTTTGTCATATTATTTTTATTATATGATTTGAAAGTTAAAAAATTAATTCCTAACTAGGAGGCACTGCCACCTTTGCTGGAATTAATCTATTTTTCCTTTATATGATTTATCGAATGTGAATCTTTTACCTTATGATATTTGAGACAATTGTTTTATCCATGAAATATGTTATCAAATTATGAAAGATTTTATTTACTCAAAAAGAAGAAAAAAATTTATTGTTACATTTATTGTGTAATAATATTGGGGTAGAGGGTGTCACACTTTATCTCTTAAATTTGGATCAATTTAGTCTTTTTGAAATAATGATTATTTTCAATTTTGAAACATAATTTAAATTTTTTTCTTTTATAATTTAAGTCTTGAAGTTAGTCTTATTAAATTCATTCATATAAAAATTGTTGAGCGCAACTAAAGTTAAAAGAAAAAAATGTCATAGACACATTGAAAATTGCATAAAAATAAGTTCAAAAGGCAATTGAAAATTCAAAAGCTATAATTTCATACTATTTTTTAATTGCTTGTAAGACATATTTTCACACAATTTTTATTATGTTATAATTTTTATGGATTCAAATGTGAATTGAATTTTATAATTTTTATATAATTAAATTTATCGTTATTAGTAAAAAATTGATTAAAAAAATTATGTCGCAAAATAAAAAAGTTATTTTTGTTTTAAAAGGATCAAATGAATCCAAATATAAAAGATAAAAGATTAAAATGAACATTTTAATAAATAAATGACTAAAATAAATCTGAAAAATAAGATAAAAGATAAAAAAATATATAATTTAACCTAATAATTTAAAATAATTTTATGTCACAAATATAAATAATTTATGATAAATAAAAAATATATTATATATTTAAAAATATTTAAAAGGAATTTTTTTTTCTTTCCCAAATAGAGTAACAACTAGAGTAATATTTAAACTCATAAAAATTATAATTTACATTTTTCTCTCCAACTCTCAAAATAAAAAATAACAAATGACTAAATATATATATATATATATATATATATATTTATATATATATATATATATATTATCATTGAAGACATTAAATATGATCAGAATTTATCAGATAAAAGAATTTTCATAATTTTATCATATATCATATATTGAAATAAAGACAATCGAAATATATTGTTATCAAATGAATATAACTTTTTTTTATCATTAAATGCTGAAAATCAAAATTTTATCATCCTTAAATGCTTGACGAGATTTATTTGACATCAGAGATATCATTAAAATTTATTTATCGATTAAAGATTTGTTCTATAAAAAAATTCCCGCCAATATAACATTCACCAATATATTTATTTTTCCTTCTTCTACACCATTCATAATTATTTCTCTCCTTCTCCTCCACCATTGATAGTTCTTCTCTTTGTTTCCAAATAATTCTCGTGATAATGGTGTTGTCCCATGATGAATTGTTTGAGATATTCTCATGGCTACCAGCAAAAAGTGTTCACAAGTTCATGTCCATTGACAAGTTTTTCTCAAAACTTCCGAAAGAAACATATTTTGCATCAAAGCAGGCACAAAACGCATTATTAAGAGACGACACATGTTTCTTTCTTCAACCAGATATCACTCTAAGGTACCATAATCAAATTGAATTACACTCTTTACCTGGGGAGGAGCAATCATCCGGAGTTTCTAAGGATGTTATAAGATCTTTGTCTAATTCTGGCAAAATGTTGTGTTCTAGCAATGGCTTGATTCTTTATCGCACTACGGCTCATAACAAAGTAAATCTATCTATTTGCAATCCAGCAACAAAATCTTTGTTGTCTATTCCTACTCCTGAGCATATGCAAAATAGTATTGATGCTAATATCGACATTGGTCTTCAATGTGACTCAAATTATTTCAAGGTGTTTAATTTTTATTGTAATCCAGATGATTGGTTTTCATATTTGGATTGCTATGTTTACGTGTCCAAGGAAGGTGTGTGGAAAGCAATGGAAGAAAGATTTATCACCGGTAGTAGGAACATGAGATTTGACATGCCAGTGTATCACAATGGAGTCATCCACTTCATCTCAGATTGTTTTCCTTACATGAAAAAGAATAGTCCTTATTTTAGGCCATACATTATGTCATACAATTTGGAAGATGGAAAATCAACCATGTTGAGAGTACCTAAAGAAGCAAGAAAGGGTTCTCATGACCACAGTTGTGAGATGGGTATTTTTAAGTGGGGCAAAGTTGCTACTTCAAATCAGTCAATTTGTTTGGTGAGATTGAGAAAACGTGTGTTCACCGTATGGATTTTAACAAATTATGAATCAAGTTTGTGGAGAAGGGTTTTGAAAATTAGAGTGAAAGCAATGGAGTTGATGGAGAAGGATCCCATTATCAAAGGTTTTACTGTTTTAAACGGTGATCTCTTAGTTTTTGCTACAGAGAAAAAGGTCTACGGCTATGATTTGACTAATATGAAAATTCAAAAAGTTTGGGACCATAAGTTTGAGGGCAATTTTCTGTGTTTCACTTCGTATTCAGACACACTACGTACATGTGGTACTGAAACTTTGTCTCTTTCTTCGCAGATGTGATACTGTTGGATTATATACTATTGTTATTTTACTTTTTGGCGCATTAGAAGGATAATTTACATAGATAATGTGGCCTACTAGTTACTAGTTTGTATGCCTTGTTAATTTTACTTTTAATACTTTGCTAATTGCTACTTTACATATAAGTATAACTTTGTGATTTGTGGGTCTTTGAGGATTTATAATAAAAGTTGTGAGTTGTTTTAATTTCTCAAATTATTATTTTACGGGTATCTGTATACATTTGTCTTATTTTGATAGTTCATTTTCTAAAGTTGTCCAAAACTTTTCAGTTGTACGAGCCAGATATAATTGATGTAAATTTATTTATTAACAAGAGGTAAAACAATGTTATTGTGATGGTTATTTATTCAGATCGATAATTTATCCTCAATTCGAACTTAAACCAATACTTTGCTTTCTCGTTCATCTTACTGCTTATGCTATTTTTATCCGAGACTAATAGTGTGTTTGGATCCGCGTTCAAAAATCACGTTAACGTAGAAGTAAGAAATTTTTACTTCTTATTTTTACGTTTTTTACGTGAATTAAGTGTGGCGGACTTGAAACCAAACACGCCATAACTGACTGTGGCAAAGTGAACCAAATCGCTTCTTGATAATTGTTTTTATTACCAGTTCCTTATTATTATTATTTTTAATCAATTTTATTGAAAACTAATTTTTTTAAAATAAACTTTTAGTGATAACGGTGAGTAATTTGATATTAACTTATAATAGTAAGTTATAGGTCTAACTCAATTCTACAAAATAAACTTGTAAAATGAGAGTTATCATCCACTTATATATTCTTTAATTATTTTATTTCTAGTTGATGTGAGACTTAAATTTTTTTAATAAATAATTATCGTTAACAGTAAATTTTAATGTGATGTAAATACATTTTTAGTAACTATTATATATTAGTCATTAATATTTTTATTAGATAATAATATAAAAATAATTAATTTATTATCGTTAAATAATCGTCAATAATAATAAATTTAGTTATAGTGATTGATGAATTTGTTTAATTTAATTAGATTAAAAAGTTACACATTAACGTGTTTATTCTTACCTTAATATAAGGTTTTTTTTCTTCTATAATCCACTTAAAAAGTCTCTTTATTTATTTTTATTCACATTGAAATCGAATTCGATATAAAGAATTTATTTTTCAAGTATCCTACTTAACCAATATAATTATTTTAATTATGGTAATTATAATCAATATAATTTTTGTAATCTGAAGATTAAAATCGGTAACAAAGATATATTCTAATTTAAATTCATTGATAATATATATATAAAGAGCATCTGATCAACTCACCCACTTAATACAAGTGTTTTTGTTCTTCAAAAAGTTTCATCGTGTCTTTTTTAAATAATCTATCTATCACTAACATTTTTTTAAAATATTTTATTCAATTTTAATATAGGAATAAATTATATGTATGAGAAACACGAATTCAGGGTTTTTTTTTTATAGCCAGGGTTCTATATTTTTCAACTCTATTTTAATGTTGTCTTCGTATTATGTCCAATATTTAGTATTGAGATTTTGTTTTCCATATTGTTTGTTTACTTTCAATTATTGAAATAACACATATGAGTTAGAGATGTTTTAAATAAAAGTTCTGTTGTGATGCAACATTAACATAATTGGTCAAAGTTAAGATTTTAAATTTAATATGATTTTTCTTGTATTTTATATATTTTCATGTTGACTTATACTGAACATGAAATAGGTGATTGATAGTATTATTGAAAATCTAAAAAAAAAAAAAGATTAATTTTGATTTTACATAAAGTCAAGTCTTGTCTTAATCTAATTTTGTTGTTTAAAAAATGTTATTTCATATTATTAAAAAAAAGTTCAAAAATATATATATATATATATATATATATATTCCTGGTATTTCTTTCTTAGCTTTTCTTTAAGTAGAATGTAAATTCCTCTTCAAGAAACACAACTACTTTACAAACATCTTCCCACACATTAGCAGTCTCGACTATGCTAGATTTAAATTCACAAATTTGGAAGGCATTTTAAAGAATTGACGTATTAATAAGGAAAAATATAAAATAAGAAGTAAATGTGAATTTTAGTAAATTTATTTTACTGTAATAATATACCAATTGATTATTTTTTTTACAAAAATCCATTGATTATCTTAAATCTAGATATATTTAATAAATATGATTTACATAATACAAGTTAAAATAAGTAATTAAATAAAAATAGTAACATTCAATTTTTTATTTAAATTTAAGTTAAACAAAAATTATATATATTTTGCTTGATAAAATTCTTATTATTCTTACTTAAAAATTTTATTAAGATAATTATTCTTTGATATATAAAATCATTAATTGGGATAGCAAATAGCGTCGAATATATATGATTAAGGATAATAATACAATCATAAATATCATATTATATTGCTGTAAGAAAAATTATATTATATTATTGTTAACTTTTTATATGGCACTAATTTTTTTTTATCATTACCATTGACATTTGCCTATTAGAGACAGCTCTAGTAGGGTGTTTTCTTTTCTTATAGTATTTTAATATATACAACCTAAAAGATAGTAGCTAGAGGACCGGTCACCACTCATCAATGTGAAGCTTGTTGAGAATATTTATGGGTAATTTGATAACTTTCACGTAATAAGTAACTTAATAGTGATTAAGAAAGATTCTAATACTTTAATATCACTTTAAAATATAAATATAAATTTAATTTAACTTTGCAAAACTCATCAGTTTTTAGCATACTATTTTACTTTGAGATTTTATATTTACATATTATTAGAAAGATAATTAACAAATAAAATGTATTGAATGCAAGTCAAGGCTCCATAATACATTAAGACATACATGTTTGATCTAGAAACTTTAAGATGAATTATTATTTTCGTAAAAGTTAAAACTCGTTATACATATTATTAAAAATAATTAATCACTATACTCACAAAATTTGCTTATCCATGCATTATACAAGTCAATAACCTAGTTAAATTAATGGGACAGCTAAGTGAGTATTAACGGAGAACACTTATAATCATAATTATAAATAATATAGGATAAATTATTAAAAAAATTTAAAAAATAATTAATTAAAAATTATTTTAAAATACTTTTACTTAAAGTGAATGATATATTTAATATTAAAATTCACAAAAAAAATTATTAAATACTCACAATTCAATAATTAGAGGATAAGTAAGCATATATAAAAGAGAGCTAACAATAAATTAATAATATAACAAAAATTTATCCTTAAATAAGTTTTAAAACTATTGATTATTGTTTTAAAAATTTAATTTATTATTTATAATTAGGGCTAGAAGTATTACTATTTTTTTAATCAACTAAAATATAAAGTATGAGTTTACTGATATTCATCATGATCCGATTGAATTTAATCAGAATGCCTTATTCATATTGTAAATATATTTTATATTGTTAACTAGTCACTAATTCTTATATATAATAAATTTATTAATTTTTATATTAATTATTTTAAAAATCAGATTATTTTTAATTAGTTAAGACTGGAAAAATTTGCATACCTCATGAAAAATAAACTCTATCAAATTATATGTTCTACTTCTACCCAGACATTTTCATTAATCAAGCCAAGGAAAGTGTATCGTGTAGACGATTAAAACGTATTTCGTGTACGAAATGGAATGTGAGAGTGACACGTGTTTCCCATGCTTCTGGGCTTTCTTCAAAGTTTCCTGACCCGAAGCCAGCCCAGCCCATTTGACCCATCAGGCCCCAAAAGCAACGAACTAGCCAAAAGCTATTGGATGTTGAGACCACAAATTACGAGGGGAAACGAAGTGGCTATTGCTCTCGATCTCGCATTCTGAAGTTGGGAAAACGAAAACCGTTGAAACTTGAAACAATGAGCTTCAATCTCTTAACCAAAGCGAGGAAGCGAACTGCGTTTCCGTATCTGCTCTCACGCGCATTTTCTCAGCGATCGGAACGGTTCGTGAATCGTGAAATTTCACATTGCTCATTCTCTTTTTGCATTGTATCATTAAACTCCTATGTTTATGGCTTCTGATACGTTAACTGTTTCAGACCTAGCAGACCTTCATTCGGCATCGCTTTCGACATTGACGGTGTCGTTTTGCTCGGAAACTCCCCCGTCGGTGGTTCTCCCGGAGCACTGAGAAGATTATACGGCGCCGATGGTAAACAAAAAAAAATGACTCTCAGCTTCCGATTTCTCCATTTCTTATTCACGGTTATCGATTCATGAATTTGTTGATCTGTTTATGTTGTCAGGTAGACTGAAAATTCCCTACGTTTTCCTCACTAACGGTGTGTTCTTCTTCTAATTTTGTTTTGTTCTGTTTACAATTGTTTATCTGTGCTGTTAGGTTTAGACGGAACTTTGTATTTTCCTTATTACATCACTGTGGTTCAATTAACGACCTTCTACGCACTAATAATATTTTGTGTGAAATAACATGCCATTTCTTTTTATGTTAATTTTAACTTTTCATGTAGGAGGTGGCTTTCCCGAAGCTAAAAGAGCTTGTGAACTAAGCCAACTGTTGGATATAAATGTCTCACCTTCGCAGGTATGCTTGAATAGTTTTGATATATCCTTTGAATGCATTAGATGACAAAGTAGATGTTTTATGAGGATTTAGAAAGAAAATGTTTGATACCTTCTGGATTTAGTAATGAGGAGGTTTTGTTATAACTTATGAGGATTTTAGAATTACTGATTTTGGAATTTGCAGTAATGTATCGTAATTGATTATTCTTTCTCTTCCCCTGTATAGTTATATATAAGGGTGTGGTTTATTTTCTGGTCGTTTTGCTGCGTGCATGTGCACGTGTCTCTGAAAAGTCATAAGTGATTGCCTTTCACATTGTTGCCCTAAATTCTATTGAAATTGCAAATGTTCTTCCCTTAACTGAATCTGATTGTTTTGCAGGTTTTACAGGGTCATTCACCATTTAAACAATTAGTCAAGAGGTATGCGTATACACATCTTTTGATCTGGTTGCACGAGTATTACATGCTGAAAACTGTAAGGTTAACATGTACTTCAGAGTCTTTGGGCCATTTAGTCGCATTATGTTTATCTTGTAGAATTTTCACCTTACAGATTTGAGAACGAACTCGTTGTTGCTGTGGGAAAAGGGGAACCTGCTGCTGTGATGTCTGAATATGGTTTTAAGTAAGGTTTTAAGATATCTGGCATGCTTGATATTTTGTGAAAACGTTGAATAAGCAATCTGATGTCATCTTCACTGTCTTGACATTATGTTCTTGTTGATTTTTGTCTTCAGATATGTTCTTTCAATTGATGAATATGCCTCGTGCTTTGAAAACATTGATCCACTGGCTCCATACAAGAAATGGACAACCAAGCTGGCTGCTACACAGAATGCAAATTTTAACGAGAGTATTTGCAGGGATGATGTCTTCTCTAAAAGGGTTCAAGCGGCATTTGTAGTTAGTGACCCTGTTGATTGGAGCAGGGACATACAGGTTACAGAGATTTTATGATTGATCTATATGAACTTTCTTTCTTTTATCTTTTCTGCATATATAGTGATGATGGATGTACTAGTTACAAAAATGCTATGACTTATTTACTTGAATCCCATGGGTTAGGAAGAGCAATAATATAATCAAACATTTTATACCATAAACATTGAAAAGTTGATGGAAAGTTTAGCCATTGTACACTAATTTTCACCTCACAAACAAAGCAGCATAACTTATACATGAAATTAAACTACACAATTAGGTAGTAAGTGGGTTTTGGTCTCTTGCTTGATGGGGAATTAAACTGCTCATGCTTTATTTGTTAGCTACCTTGTGGTTCAGGTCTCAAAATAATCCACTTTGGTGGATTTTCAGTAGAGAAAAATGAGCTAGTATTAGAATACATCCATGTTTACATTTTAGAACACTAGATATAGTGCAATGTGCTCATTGCCATTTATTGGAAAAGTAATTGAGTGGTCTGCTTTTTCGGGTTATTCATGGGCCATTGCTTTGTCTCCGCTTCCTAGCTAGATTAAAAGAAACGAAATGAAATAAAGAGGCCAACAAAAAGAAGACACTGGAAAAGTAAATGCTACAACACATACTTGCATTTTATGAGGATCCAAAATTGAGAGCATACAACTAAATTTGACACGCTAGACTTTCAAGCTGCTGACAACTTTATTAGTTTTAGTTTAATCATTTTTGAACTATATTGAGAAGTGAAAATAAATAAAAATACATTCTTTACTTTGGGCTTTTGAATTTCTTAGATTATTTTTTAATGGATCTGTGAATGACCAAGGCTTTTCATTCAGGTTCTCTGTGACATCTTAAAAACAGGAGGTCTTCCTGGAAGAAATGTTGGACCCCAACCACATATATATTTTGCAAATGATGACCTTGAGTATCAGGTTGGTTGATGTTTTCTTCGTATATAAGTCTTGCAGAAAGATACAGATTATATGGAACCCTTTTAAAATCCTATACTGCTATACTTACTGACAAGGTGCCACAAAAGGTAGACTAAATTTCCTTCTGAACGTCTGGGCATGGGAGCTTTCAGGATTGCATTAGAATCCATCTTTAATAGGTAAGACTGCTCTTATTTATCGTTTTATCTTACTGTTGTTTGGTCTACTACTCTTCTCTACTTATGGTCCTTTAAATTGAATACTTCAATACATATATACACTCGTGTACACATAAAAAGCTATTTAAGCCATGTATCCAAATTGAAACCGAATTAGTTTAATGGTGCAGATGTTGATTTAATTCATATTTGGGTTCTGAAAAAGCCTTCATCTATCTATAACCAGGAATTGCTCTATGTGCAGGATTCATCCTCATACCTTGGACTATACCTGTTTTGGCAAACCACATCCATCTGTATTCAAGAATGCTGAAATTGTGTTGCAGAAACTTGTGCCATCACTTTATGATGATTTCTATGATATAAATGATAATAACACTCCATATTTCAAATCGCTTTACATGATTGGAGATAATCCTGCAGTTGATATCAGAGGTGCACGACAGGTTTGTCTCTTGGACTTGATTTCACAAGTGTGACAGGTAAAGTTATCTGCTGACAAATGATGTTATTAATGGAAATATTGCATTTCAGACTGGGCATCCTTGGTTTTCTATTCTCACGAGAACTGGGGTCTTCAAGGGGAAGGAAAATCATGACAAATTTCCAGCAGATCTGGTAATTCCTTATGTTCCTCTAGAAAGCTCTCAAATGCTTTTTAACTTTTTTTGTTTCACATTTTAAGTTTCTTTTAACTGTGGCGGTCAAATGATGTAAGGCATTTTTTTTTTCCTTCCGCTGTTAATAGTGCCACAATGGGAACTAGTGGTAGCCTGGTCAAAACTAAAACGGGTTTGCAATCTGAGTTAGACATATAGTAAAGAACTGGGATGAACAGGATTATTATTTGTTTTGGGTCTTGGCTTTTCACCTTTTGAAATAAGGATGGAGAACTGGTGATTATGGAATACTTGCGTTATGCTACCATACCAATGAAGAGTATCTTGTTTTTAAAGGAATGTGCTCACGATTATAATGCAGCACGGATTTAATTGTCCAAACGGTAATTTGAAATTTGTTGGGAGTTGTAACCCAGGAAATACCTAGTGGTTGACATTCTGAAGTAAAAAACTTGTGATTATAAATTCATAATACAACGTCGCTTTTGCAGGTGGTTGACACTGTAGAAGAAGCCGTGGATTACATATTGGCAAAGGAAAGCGCTTCATAGATCCCGTCTGCTTTAGATGGCAAATCCCTGAGGAAAGGATTCTAAAATAAATATTAGAAAGCAATAGGTGATTCTGTGATCACTACTAAGAGTGTAATAATTTATGGCCTAATCCTTCCATTCATTTGAACTGCGGGTTAAATCGATTTTGTTTTCCATTGGCTCATGTTCGTTTGTATTTCTGATATAGATCGAGAGCTTTTAGTTTGTTTGTTGCTTTTTCTAAGCATTAGTTTAGTTAGACTTTCTTGCGCTAGTAATTTATTTTCAAGATAGGGCGAAATTTCACTATTAATATCGAGAGCATCTCAGAAGATTTGATATTTCCAAAGAAACACGTGTGCGTGTGTCATTATCTAGAAAGAGTTCTTGTAGAGTATGTAGGATAATATTTGCATTGAATTTGTGAGAGGATTGGGCCCTTTATATATAAGTTTAGGCCGAGGATTCAGCTTAGTATAACTTCAAATATTTTTTCCATCCATTTTTTTTTGCAGATTTTCTCTCAACTGACTTTTAGGTATGGCTGTTTTAGTTATTCCATACCGGCTGTTTTCCCTCTAAACACTTTCAAGCAACAATATTAAAAGGATAAAAATATTTTGGGAACCAATAGCGTGCATTATCGACGGACGACTCGGTGCGAGTTTCAGAAAAAACATTTATTTGGATGCTACTTGCATTTCACGCATTATACTAATGGGGTTCTTCAAGATGTATGAATATGATACTTCAATTTCTCACTAATAATGCAAAATTGGTACCTATCGTTGAGAGCCAATTATATCAAAATCAACCCTATTCTTTTAAAACAGTCACATAAGACGGAGAGAAATGCTAATCAAGCTACAGAATTCATGGATGTGAAACTAAAGGCCCCACGCCTTTGGCAGATTTTAGAAATATTATGTGATTGAATCATTAAAAGGTCAAAGATTAATTTCGATTTAGCACTTATTAGGAGATCAAGATGAAGTGTGATAGAGAAAATGATAATGATCGAGCCGTTTTGAAAACTAGGAGATCAAGATGTGCAGATTGACAAGAGATTGAAAAGCTAATGAACAAAAGATAAAGTTTGAAGACTCAATTTATTTAGAACTTTTGAGACATAAAGATCGAACCTGGGCAAAAAATGGCGATGTATGTTCGAATATTTGAATTTTAAAATGGTTTAGAAGTTAATTAGAATTTTATCTATAAATACATGAAGGAGTAACGAAAACATAACAGTTACTCTGAAAAAGCACAAATAAATCTCATCGAAACCTGAAAGCATCTGAACTGGGAACAAAAAGTTGTTTGAGGATGATTAAGGAAGATTAGGTGTATGTTATTGTGATTTTTTTTTATATCATTATATGTTACTCTTATTAAATAAAATTTCTCTTATTTATTTCATTTTATTTTGTTATTCTTTTACTCTTTTAGAATAATTCTTATTCCTCGCACTATAAATCTTAGATCCCTTTGAAAATGTAGTTTCCCACGCAGACTGTTTTTTCTTGGAAATACCAGAACAATTTTTCATCAAACAGAAATTAGTATAAACACCCACACATTTAGAATTTGATTACTTGCTTAGGTTGGCTCCCAAGTTTTCCCAGAGCTTTATCCAATGCTGTATTGAAATCGTCAAAGGGAGCCAATTCCATCCTGCAAACAAAGAGACCATTATATGAAATTGGTATGTAGAAATATATGAGAAACAGAAATGTGAGAATATTACCCAACCCACTTTGAAAGGTATAATAGGAAACATACTTGTATTTTAACTTCCCTTCTTGTACAAGTCTCAAAAGCCTGTCTATCATTCCTCTGCTCTCTTCAGCTTTATCTGTGCTCAACCACTTCTGCAACCAGAATCCCCTCAAGGAAAGATCCTGCAAATATGTGGTTCTAGACTATGGTTACATTTAATTAACTAAATCAAATTATCAATATGATACTCTAGTAAGAACATAGACAATATAGGCACATGGCATTTGAAAGGTTAGACAACAAATAGTTATCAAATTAAGGGAACTCAATTTCCAAGGTACATGGTCCAACATGAGTAATAATGTAATATTATTATTTTGTTCTTGCTATTTTCCAACTCATTTTCTAATTTGATTGATCAAATATTATGTTTTCGAGATGCCATTTCAAACCAAGGGTACAGGTAATCTAAAATCCTCAATTCTGTACTTTCTTTCTGATTCTATTAACAAAAAATACAGCGACTTTGTAACCACCCAAACAGGCAGGCATCTTGATATTGGGTAATCAGACTCATTTTCACTCAATCATGCAAATATTTAGGCATCTTGATATTCTATGTTTCAATAATTCTTCAATAAGAGATACCACCCAGTACAGGTTCCCAGCACAAAAGATTTTACAGAACTTCAATTATAATGAATCTACTAGGCAGAGTATTACTTCACCCAAACAAATAAAAAAGTATCCAGTGGATGAATAGCAATGTTACAAACATGACTGGTATGCCCCACTAACTCTGGAGAGAAGTTGAACACATCTAAAATTCAGTTTTTGACTTTTTACTGCTAGGTTAGATCTTGTTTGTGAAAGGCAAAGGTTTATAAGCTAAAAAAAATGGACCTATTAGAATGTTCATGAACTCACAAGTATTTTTTGAGCTTAAAGCTTCCCTAGCCCAAGGTTGATCTCAGGTAACCTCTCTAGCAAAACAGGTTAAGTGGCCTGGATTACTTTATTAGTATTATGTATACCCAACTCTAGCACATTCAAACAGAATATCATACATCATCAAATTTTCAGAGCTGTAGTTATTTCAACAACTTCTTAACTTGAAAGTTGAAACCTTAATTTGAACCACTTCCAAATTCTAACTAGTGCCCGCTCAGGTACATTAGTGGAAAATGGAAACTCCCCAGTCACCACTTTTCCCGGAAATTTAAATATGATTAAACTTTATATATCTAAGATTGATTATCTTTATGCTTCATGTCAATCATAGTTAACCAAGATTTATCAAGATTTTAACCAAAAATGGTGGTGCATAATACACTGAAGTAACCAACTATGAGACTATGAGAGGGAAGAAACTGAACAGAAACTGCTGCCTGACCTTAAATATGAAAGATGATGTTGACACAGTGACAGGTTTTTTAGACATTCCACCATAAGTCACCATAGTTCCTCCTTGTCTGCAAGGTGTGGACTTACTTAAAATATCATTGTAATAATGATATATAGTAATAGAAGAGGAAGTTTCCACTTAAACTCTTCACCAAAATCTCATGTCATACCTCAAAAATTTGAGTACTAGAGAAGCAGCATTGCCACCAACACAGTTAAATCCCAGTGCAGGTTCAGGTATACCACCCTACCATGTCAATTTGATGCAAAATAAGCCATCTGAATTCAATATATATAATAATCCTTCAAAGCAATTTTTATTGGTCAACTCCCTTAGCATCATCCCTTGAAAGCAAGTTCAGAACTTCAAACAACAAAGACAGAATCATATTCAAAATACACTTCCAAACTGCTTAACCAACGACTACCACGGACATTCATCTGAAAAATTAATATCTATCTCACAGCATAGACCAAAAAATTAACAACAAGCGAAGTTATACCAGGAGACTCTTGATATTCTTCACTTCCAATTCATTCTCAGTGAAAACTTTATCAGCACCCATATCCTTAAGCCTTTCTTTTACTTCATCAACCCCGGGCCTGGAGCAAAAGGATTTGCAATGCAAAATTAATATTATTCAATCTTCATTAATATATTATTCTGCCAGAAGTGAAACAAATGACATGTTAATTGTATTATATTTTTAAAAAATGAAGAAAAAAAAATCTACTATAATGAACAAACAAACCACAGTTAATTTTTGTTACAATGAACACTGTTAGAAGTAAATAACAAAGCCAGCAAAGAACCTTCCAATGAGCACCTGTCCCTTATAATATTAACACTATGAATGCCACGAGACTTCGCAAGTTGAATGACACACTGCCCAACCATGCTGGTAGCCCCATTTTGCACAATAGCATCTCCTGTTGACATCCAGTTTCACAAAACTTCAATCCACTAATCAACCCGAAATACAATAAAAAAAATTAGAAAATTCAGCAAAAACAAAAAGTACCTGAGTTCAAAGTAATACAGTGTTCAAGCATGAGAAGTGCAGTCAAGGGATTTACAGTAATAGTGGCAGCATATTCCATTGGCACACCCTTGTCTATCTTGTGCCAAACATTCTCATCCTTCACAATGTACGTCTGCCACGTCCCTGTGTGTACCAAAAACAAACACAAATAAATAAAAATTGGAAATATAATAACGAAAAGAGCACACCCCTTACATTCAAAAAACTTACATGTAATATCATAAATATTGTTAGTATTGTTCTCCAATGTATGCATGGTCAGGGATTCTATTATTATCAACGATTATTATTGAAAAGAAACTCTAATTCTGATCAGACCATAACACCAATAGTAACACGGCCACCTATGGTAATGTATCCAATTTTGTCTATATTTTTTGTTTTAAAAAAAAAAACCTACATACAGTACACAGGTGCTATTAGTACCGTAAGAATTGTAGTTTCACATATAAGTAATAAAGGACTTCATAAAAAAATCAATGCACAATAGTGAGCTAAAATTCCAACTCTATAGAAGAATAACACTAAGTTAGCAATGGTATACATCTAATTTTTGTCATCTTTTAAATACTCTATCAACATCTCTCATTCTTTTATATCTCTTTTTTCCTATGTATTCTTATTACCTATCACACTTATATTTTTTAATCAGTAATGTTACATCTAGGACAAAAATTGTACAACTAGTTCAACATCATTTTTATGTGTCTATCTATCGTTATGATAGTGTACAAGTTATTGTACGATTTTCGTTGTATCATTACTCTATTTTTTTCTAACAAAAAAATTGGAAAGTTGAAGAGAGAGTGAGAGAGTAAGCACCGAAAGAGGGAGGCGATGGAATAACCCAGTCACCGGGAGAGAGAGAGCTAACTGAGGAGCCAACAGAATGAACCTCTCCAACGCCTTCGTATCCACCCACTGCCGGTGGTTCTGGCCGCACCGGATAAACGCCCTGTATTCTGTTGATATCGGAGGGGTTGATAGGAGCTGCTAGCATCTTCACACACACCTCATTTTCTTTCACTTCCACCGCCGGAATCTCCACCAGCTTCGCCACCGCGTCCGGCGCCCCGTGCGCCTCGTACACGATCGCCTTCGACGGCGGCGACACGACGGCGGAGAATGCGCGCGTGATTAACGATTGGCCGTTGCAACCGTCAACTAACCTCGGCTTGAAGTTGAAGGCCAAACGCGGCGCGTGGAAACCCAAGTGTCGCAACATTGCGAATTGCGATCGCTCTCAGTATCGATTTTTCTCGCTTCAGTAGGAGGAACTCGCTCGTTCGCTCTTTGGAACTCGAACGACGTCGTTGTTGCTGTATTGCGATTTGCGAGTAGTTATTGAAAATGATGGGCCTGGATTGGGTCGTTGTTTCGTAATGGGCTTGGACCTTTTCTTTCTGTTCCAATTTTTGTAAGGTTCATGATTTATACACCTCCTTTTTTTATAGTACACCTCCTTTTAAAAAAAATAATTAAAATTTTAAAATATTTTTAATTTTTTGTTCTAAATTTTTTAATTTTATATCCACAACATTTAATTTAGTACTTTTTTCACACATCTTTCCTTCTTTTTTCAATTTTTACATGCACCCCCTTATTTTTTCTTCACCCCACCTATTTTGGTAACATGTGAAAATTGAAAGAGAAAAAAAAAAGTGTGTGAATAAGAAGAAAATAAAAAATTGAAAGTTGAAAGTATAAAATTAAATTTTTTTAAAAAAATTATAATTTTATAATTTTCTTTTTAAAAAGGCGGTGTATTTATAAAAAAAAAAGAGGTGTACTTATAAAAAAAGGAGGTGTATATATACCTCTTTTTTTTTTTTTCTAGGAGTTGCTACGGTACCCTCAAAAATTGAAGGGTTTCAATACATTTTCCTATATAAAAACTCATAAAAGATTTAAAAAAAATTAATTTATTTATAAAATGAATAATCCAACTTATACTTATAAAATAAAAAGTAAGATAAAATTATAGAGATTAAAATTATAAGATTTCAATAATATTATAAAATATTAATATATAATAATATTATTACAAATAAATTTAAAATATATAAAATAAAAATAAAATGGATAAATAATTTAAAAATTAAAAGAATAAAATATCATAAATATTATTTAAATAAATTATTAAAAATATAAAATGTAAAAAACTGTACTGGTACCCTCTCAAATAAGATGGGTACCATAAATTTCTCTTTTTTTATAAGTACACCTCCTTCTTTTAAAAAAAATTATAAAATATTATAATTTTTTTAAAAAAATTTAATTTTATACTTTCAACTTTCAATTTACTACTTTCTTTTTCTTATTCATTCACACACTTTTTTCTTCTTTCAATTTTTAAATGCTACCAAAATAGGTGAGGTGAAGAAAAAATAAGGGAGTACATGTAAAAATTGAAAAAAGAAAGAAAGATATGTTAAAAAAAAGTACTAAATCAAATGTTGTGGATGTAAAAATAAAAAATTTAAAACAAAAAATTAAGAAAATTTTAATTATTTTTTTTAAAGGAGGTGTACTTATAAAAAAAAAGGAGGTGTATATATCATTAACCTCTTGGTTCTGTTCTGGAGAACCTTGTTTTGTTATAAATTTTTTTCTCAAATGCATGTGGGCATCCATAGACTGTGTTAGCTCCAGTTATTTATTTATTTATTTTATATAATTTATAAATTCTTTTAAATTAAAATTAGAAGAATAGAAAAACTTTAAAATTAAGGTAAAGCTACATTTTTCAGTGTTTAAGTTACTTTTATGGACCATAAATATTAACGAAAATGTGGATCCTTTGTTGGAGTTTGGAAACGAGATATTCACATGAATTTGTTAAGTGAAATTTGTAGATTCTTCCAGAAAAGCGTACGGTGTATCTTCTCGTTTTTTCTCTAGTGCTGCATTGCTTTTTGGTAATTAATAATGAGGTTCGAGTTTCTTTTCACCCCCAACTTTTAATTCGTGCCTATGGGGTCTTGAAACTTCAAAATGATGATGCTCTAGATTCCTTCCATTCATGCATGGTTATGAACTTAAATGGATCCATGCACGTGGCTACGATGAATAAATTACTAATTTTTTCCATGTGAGAGTAAGTTCAGTGATTTTTATTTTTTTTTGGTTTCTTATAAGTTATAAAGTTACACGAACCCTTGTTTAAAGACAATTTTGTTTAAGACACTATTAACACTATATATAAAGTCGTTTCACAACTGAAATTCGAAATGCCACGTATAAATTCAGTATCTATGTACATAGCAGTTATTGGCAGCTATAATGCTGTTCCTCTGGAATTGTGATGTGGGTCACCATGAATTTAATTAGGTGGCTAATATATTCCGCCGAAATATCTTAGCCAGTTGTTGAATGGTGGTGTTAAATCTATCTCATTGATCCATTTAAATGGTTTTTGCGACCGGAGCTCCACATTAAAACAAAGAATAATGTTTCTCTCTATATATATATAGAATAAATGTTTTATGTTATTTTTTTTCCTAGTAGTATATGAATCTTTCTTACTTACTAGCATCGGATTCAAATTCTGGTGAGACAATTATTGATTCATGGACATGGTTACCTACTTAGAGACAGACTATAAGATCATTTAAGTGATACCTACTTATTGATCCTATACTTGGAGCCAAACTTCCTTCGAGTTTTTAGGTCCATACACCCAACTTAGATGATAAGAAATAGGGCAGAGAGGATAAGAGAGAGGATGAGTGAAGAAACAAAACATACCTTTCTTGGAAGTATTGAAAAAAGTGATAGAAATACTCCCTCCACATGACTTAATCTTTACTTTCTCCAAAACTACATTAATGAGACATTTAATATATGTTTTCAAAAATTTTGTATTTTAGTACAAGAACAAAAATAGAATACTGTTTATAATTTATGGAACATAAATTAAATAAATTTTAATTATTTATTAAACTTAAAAAATAGTTAATAAAAATTAATGATTGAGACATAATAGATTGAATTTTATAAAAAAGACAAGATCAATTTAAAAATTTGGATCTTATAATAAATGTATAAAGAAGTAAATAAGTATTAAATTTCAGGTGAGAGACTATAAATTATTGGAGGAAGGACAGATAGTTTTTTTTTTCTACATGCTTTTAAGTAAACATAAAAAAGGGTTACAAAATTTTAATACTTTGAATAAGTTTTATTAATTGATAATAAAAAAATCATTCAAAATAATGTTTTAGATAAATCTTACAAGTAATCCAGTGAATTGGTATGATAGTTAAACATTGTACATTTACACGTTGTAAAGACAATTTATATATAATTTATATTCGATTCTAATTATGTGTAAAAATTTAAAAAGTCATTATTCAACATTAATCATAATATCGTAAATAAAATTAGTCTCTAATTCAATGAATCAAGAAATATTTGTGATAAGACAAAAAGATAAATATTACTGGCATATTTCCATTGCAATTAAAAAAAAATTTATTGGATTCCAGCAAGTGTAATGGAACTCCACACAGAGGACATAAAGGAAAGAATAATAAATAAAGTAGGTGGTCTTGAATTGAATGTGGCGGAACAGTTCCCCTTTAGGACTCTAAAAATAAGGTAAATACTCCAAACCGTTGATGGTGGTGCACAAACGCTTCTTTTAGCCCAATCCATCTTCTTCAACTTGGCCCTAGCTAGCTTCCAAGTGATGGTGGAGAATCTGTTCACTCAACATGTAAATGATGCAATGTAGCAAAATAAGTTCTGGCTTTTGTGCCCAACTAAGCACTATTCTCACTTTCTTGGAGCCATGTATATTGAATGGTGTTTACCATTTCTATTAATAAAAGAAAATTTTGTGAAACTTTTTAATAAAAGAAACCCAATTTCAACTACTAAAGGTTATTTATTTATTATTTTTTATTCATTAAAATCACAATAATAACACCAAAATTCGAATTTTAAACTATATGCATACCAATTTAATCCTACTTCTATGTTTAAAGGTTGATTTAGGTAATAAATATTTAATTCTTCTTACTAAGCCTTAAATTTTTTAGATTTTTTTGTTAGTAGACAGAAGAATTTACTAAACATATCTAACTTAATTAACAAAATAATTGTGTAAATCTATAGCCTATGTTATTATAAATTAAAAAAATACCCTTTTAATAATTTTTATTTATTTAAGCATTTTTGCCCACTCCTATTATTTATTTTCTGCAACTTCTTAAAAGTTAAAATCATCTTCTTCGGTTCTCCCATTGCTCATAAATGACTCCTCAGAAACAAACTATTTTTTAATGCAAGCACAGTGTCTTTTTCTGTTAGTATTGTTACAAAATTTTTAATATCAAATTCGATTTTTTTATTTTTATTTTTAGTTTTACTATAACTTTTCTCCTTTGAACAATGAATTGTAAACCTCAAACCTAAAGAATAAGCAATTTATTTTTCAGAATTAATATATATATATATATATATATATATGGTTAAGAATAAAAATATATATTATCTTGTTTTTGGAGAGATGAAATTCAAATTATATTAAAGACTCAATTTAAAGCTAGCATGTCCTTATATGTAACATAAAAATTTTGGAATTTTGAATTGTCTGAGACTTTGAGATCAGTATAACTAGAGGAACCAGACAAGATCCTTGCTCAATGCATAAAGTTCAAATTAATTTCTGTTACCTGTGCTCTGACATGTAATTTAATGGATTTAAATATTCTCAATGGAAGCCATTTGAACTTTGAAGTGGAGGTGCTACTGTCGATCCCTTACTCGGGAATTAGGGTGTGGGTTGGCAGAAAGTCTTAACCTACTAGAGTTACCTCTTGAGGTAGAAGGATACAAGTTACCTCTAAATTAACCTACCTCTTGGGTTCAACTTTATCTTATTACTTTTAACCTAACTGAAAGTTAATTTCAATAATTTTAGGTTTTAAAAATTAAATGAAATATGTTTTGGAAATAAGTTTAATTTATATTTCAAATTATTGGACCTAGAGCTTTGTCTTTTTTTTTTATAAATAATTTCTTATTAATTATAACAATATTGAGTCATTAATTAACTAAATTAATATCATATAAATTGACCACTCTATATTTATATTAGTACTATTTTTATATAATTTAATCTTATGATTTAGTTATAAACAATATTAATTTTCTATATTGTATATAGAAAAATCATATCAATTTTTATATGATCTTATTCATTACTAGGTCTTCGTTAAGGTTTAGATTATTTGGATTTAGATAAGGTTTGAATCCAAACAAGTCACTTTATTTATAAAAAAGAAAAAAAATTGGGTCGAGG